TTTTTTTTTTTTTTTTTTTTTTTTTTTTTTTTTTTTTTTTTTTTTTTTTTTTTTTTTTTTTTTTTTTTTTTTTTTTTTTTTTTTTTTTTTTTTTTTTTTTTTTTTTTTTTTTTTTTTTTTTGTCTTCGATTCATTGCTCATAGAAATCGAAACGAGATCTCTCTCGCTGGTTTTCTTTCTCATATCAGTTAAACGGTAAGCAGCCTCTTCTTTGAAATTAGGGTTTATTCTTCTAATAGTAAATTAGAGTTTTTTCTGTTAAATTAGGCTTATATGAATTGGGGTTGATGTTGATGATTCTTCAGTTAAATTAGGCTCTGTTTTTTTTTTTCCTCTTTTTTCTTTTTTTTTTGAATTGAGTGAAATGATTCAGGCTTGTTTTTTTTTTTTGGTTTGTGAATCTTTAAGTTGGTCAATTTACTTATGAGGGGAAAAACAAGCAATTGTGGCATTTCTCAAAGTTATAAATTGAATGCGTCATTCTACTCTGTTCATAGTTCTTGTATTAGGAGGGCAGGAGAGAGAGTAATTATCTTGTACATCTTGCGGTAAGTTTGCAGGATGTCGCTGTAATTTATGTTTCTCTATTTAAACTGACTCTGGTCAGTTTTATTGTTTTCAGACAAAATGAAAACCTAGTCACGTAGTGCATTCTATAACAAGAATAACTCGATAATGTACTGAAAACAGACAAGTTCAGCGTCTGTATGCCCTGAAAATGCCCCACACTGAAATCAACATGTTGTGGCTAACTGAGGAGTACTTTTGTTGGCTTGAGGTTTCTGCTGGAGGTTAAAGTCAAATATGTATACAGTTGTTGGTCAGGTTTACCACAAATTTGAGATGTACTTAAATATGGGTTCCATAACAATGGAAAGTTGCACAAAATTGATCTTAGAATATAATCTTTTGAAATGGTTTTGTCTGAAAATGAACGTCATCATACGATACTTGTCCCACAGAAACAGTATAGAACAAATCCTAAGATTATACTATGCGTAGATTACAAAACAAAACTGCGCTCTGCTTCAAGGACTTCATTTTCCATAAATTGTTTGTCCTTTTCATGCGTTCAGATCTTTCTGATGTGGATATGACTTGGAGTAGCTTGTCATTCAAGTGTTAGCCAAATTTATTTCCTATAGGCCTTTGAGTAAAAGAATATTTACTTTAATGCTGGATGCTATCAAACTGTTGCTATATGAAATAATGAATGGAAATGTTAGTATAGTTTGCGTTGTCTTCCGACCAAAGACAAAAGGGGAAAATGATTAATAATGAAAAGCAGAATGTGTGTGCAAATTCATGTTGCGAAGAAAGAAGAGAGAAAGGATAAAGAATAAGAGCTGTGAGAGAGGAATATGCTTCTGTCGATCCTCTCTAGAGCTAAGGTTACAAGGAGCATGGAGATAGTGACAAGTGTAGGCCTGATAGAATCAGTAGTCTTTTCCTTAGATTTCTATAGGAAGGAATGTGGGGTCTTGTTATTGTGAGGTCAGCTCCATGCTTTGCTTATGCTCCTTGGTTCAGCTGACTATCAGTGTGAAGTAACAATGATATTAAACGATATTTTAGACTAGGAGAAGATGTACGTGGATGAAAAATTCATCATTTTGTCCAAAAACTAGAAACAGCAAAACCTAATAAGCCAATTAAGAGTTTGATAATTTTTAATTAGACAAATCCAGTTATGTCGTCAATCCAAAAGTTGCTCAACCCTCAACTGAGCCCTCAGCAGCAAGACAACACCATTAAACATGGCCTAACTCTACAATAATCCCTATAACTAACTACACAATTGCGTGTGTAAAAATTGTATATCAAAACTGGAAAAAGCAAAACAAAAAACTGGATTGTCTAATTTAAAAAAACAAAAAAAAAAAAAAATTGGGAAACTTCCTTGGAAATTTCTAAGTACCTTCGTACCATCACTTGTTGAGAAAGGAAAATTTCCTTTCATTTTTTTGGTGAGAAAACATTTGTCATTGCACTTTTGTGTACATTGGCTCTACCACCACAGAAAAAAAGTAGAAAGCGTGTTCACTACCTTCTCTCTGTTTATTTTTGGTGGGTTTTGGTTGGATTGGTTCGTTGTGGTTGTTTCTTGCCAATTATCTGGCTGTGTGATTGTTCAATTTGTTGTTCTGTGAGCATACTGTGAGAGTTGGTGTGTTTCCCTGCAGTGATCGCGAATTTGTTGTGCGGGTATTTGCTTTATGCCCTTCTTCTTTCTGCTAATACGTTTTCAGTACAAAATAAACAAATTAGGGTGGGAGTATATTTAGAACTCAATACCCCTGCTTTGTACGCAGATAAGTAGTAACGAAACTAGACATGGGTTTGTTAAATCGTCGTAATATTCAAAACTAGAGATCCCAACTGAGTGTAAAAAGTGTCACATAGATATTTAACGGCTGAAATAACATTCACATCACTAGGCAACCGATGTGTCAGAAGCTGATGGGGAATGAAGGAGGGGGGTTGGCTGTATTTGACATCCCAAAAAAATGTCAAATGATATTTTAAATTTTTAAAACGATAGCTGGCTTGTTATTCATTTTATTTCATTATTTTTATATTTTTTCTTTATTTAATGATTTGACTGTACAATCATGATTTATTGACGGTATGGGGTGGAGTGTTTAAAACTGGTAAAAGTCAATTGCCCATATCACCATCAAATGTAAATTTGATATTTGGTTATTTTGAACATCGCCCAGTGGAGCTGCTCTTGAAGAAATTACTTATCACTCAAGCAATTAACTACAGCAATTAATATGATTGTTTCAATTTCCTCAGCATCAGTAAGTTAAGAAAGGGAAAAAAAAATGTATAAAAACATGACACATCACTTAGGTGAGAAGAAAGAGAAGCAAACCCAGGAAGGAAGTTTCCGTTTCAGTGAGGTGTTGTGGAAAAATTACTCCTTTCTCATGTTTCCTTTCTATAGTGGGTTGACGCGTTTTCCTCCTATACCGCGCCTCTTCCTCGTCTTTATATGACTTCTGTGCAAAACAAAATGAACCAGAACCAAAGTCAGTCACTTTGGTAGAGAAAAGAAAAAGGTAAAGAAAAATGACACATCCCCCAAACCACGGAAGCTTTCCTGCAAATTTTCATTTTACTTTTTGGTGGAAAACATTCGTCCTTCACTTTGTCTAAAACACTTTTAACGTTTTCCTTTTCCCTTTGTTTTTGTTTTTTTTCACCGTGATTGGGCAAAGTATTGGACGTGGTGAGCGATTTCTTGGCGGGAGTCCTCATTTCTTCTTGGTTTCTGGCTTGATTTTTAGTATCTTTCTAGGGAAATTGTTTGGCATCAAAATCGTAATGTAAATTTCCTTTTTTTCTCTGAGAGTTTACATTTTATGGATTTGCTATGATGTTCATATCAATTAAACTCACTTTAATAGCATTCAAATATCCGTGGTTTCATTAGGTGGTTTGTTGTATTGATGTGATTCCTTGCTAAAGTTTTTTTTTACAAATTATAAAGAAACTCAATCCTAGACAGGTATTTATAAAAAAAACCAAACACTATTTTAAAAAAGTAGTGAAAAACACACCAAAAATCAACCAAAGTAACTTTTGGGTGTGTTTATTAAATGGGTTTTGAGTGTGTGTAATGATGGGTTTTGGGTTGTGTTTATTAAAGGTGTTTTGAGTGTTGAGTTTTTTTATATTTCAGTCATTTGGGTGGTTAGTGTGAAACTCCCTTGTTTGTTCTTACATGTGTCACCTTGTGATTACCTCTTCTCTCTCCCATTTTGTTTTCATACAGCCCCCTGTCTATATGACTTTCTGAATTAACTGGATACTTGATTTTGCAATGTGAATTGCACTTCTATTGAAAGGACTTGCTAGATGCTTGTTAAGCACCATTCGTCTGAATTTAGCATTGACGATAGGCTTGAATTTTTTTTTTTTTTTTCAAAGAAAGATTAATTGGAGGGAACAAGTTCCATCATTAGTGCATATCAAAAAACTGGGAAAAAGGAAAAAAAAAACTGGATTTTCTAATAAAAAGTGGGGAACTGCTTGGAAATTTATAAGCACGTGGAACCCGATAACTTTGTTGAGAAAAGAAATTTCCTTGAAATCTTCCTTCATTTTGTGAGTGGAAAACATTTGAGAAAAGAATTAGAGTTATAAAAAGTTTCTAAATAAAAAGGCAGATCGTCAAAATGAAATAATTAGCTTTTTCGCTTGAGAGCCCACAATTGACCTAAGAAAAGATCCACCACACCGACACCGAAAAATGAACAAAAAGAAAACAAAAACGAAAACTGTGTTATTTCTCTCTCTCTTCTTTTCATTATTTCCTTTCTAACGCGGCGATCCATCCCTCATTTTATATGTCCTTCAACTCTAGGGGATGGTATATGTTGTTTTCATTTTCTCCGGGCCCAGTTAACTTGCCATCGTGTTTTTGGTTGGATGGTTTGTTTTGCCAATTCTCTGGTCGTAATTGTGGGCTGGTCGCTGAGTGTTGTCCGAGTGCTGAGTTCAATTTCATTAATCTCTAGTTGGTTTTGCTGGGTATTTGCTCTCTTCCCTTCTTCTCTTTTGCTTAATACGTTTTCAATTACCCAAAAGAAAAATTAAAGCTACCATTTTCATTTATGTATTTCCTGAGTGTTTGCCGAACCAGATTTCAGGAACTGTCTTTTTCCAGGCCTTGAGCACCCATAGAGCCTCTACATCTCGTACTTCAGCTGAATGGGCTCCTCCCCATTGGAAGCATGATGTGTTTTTGAGTTTCAGGGGTGAAGACACTCGCAGCGGTTTTCTATCCCATTTATACCATGAACTGCAGTACTGGCAAGCAATTAAAACTTTCAAGGACGACCGAGACCTTGAAATAGGAGCAAGTATTTCTCCGGAGTTGTTGACCGCAATCGAACAATCACATCTTGCCATCATTGTTCTCTCTCCAAATTACGCTTCTTCCACTGGTGCTTGGATGAACTTTCCAAGATTCTTGATGCATGCAAGACACCATGAGAATTCTGCCAATCTTTTATCACGTGGATCCTTCTGATGTACGAAACCAAAGGGGTAGTTTTGCGGAAGCTTTCACTAAGCATGAAGAAAAGTTCAGTGAAGATGTAGACAAGGTGAAGCGGTGGAGAGATGCTTTAAAAGAAGTTGCCAATCTCTCTGGGTGGGATTCAAAGATTATCCGTAAGCATGCATGGATTAACAACTTGCTTGTTTCTTAACAAGAGCTCTACTTGGATGTACGTTTCAGTTCTTGCCTTAATCAATAACTTGGATGTTATATTTATGAATTAATGGCTATTTTAATTTCATTCCTTGTAGGTCGGACGCAGAGCTATTAAACACATTGTCGAATGTGTGTTTAGGAAAGTGTATCCAACGTTCATGTGTCAGGTTCTCTAGACAAGTTAGTCGGAATTGATTCTGCACTGAGCAACTACATTTGCATTTAGCTCCCAAAGATAATGATGTTCGCTTTATAGGGATATGGGGGATGGGCGGGGTAGGCAAAACAACCCTTGCTAAGCTAGTTTTCGAAAGAATTTCCCATCATTTTGAACTTAGCTGGTTTCTATCTAATGTGAGAGAGGTTTCTAGAAAACAAGGCGATCTAGTTAATCTACAAAGACAGATTCTTTCCCCAATCTTGAAAGAAAATGTTGCCCATGTTTGGGATGAAGGAGCCGGAACCTTTTTCACTAAGAAACATTTATGCAATAAAAAGGTTCTTCTCATCCTTGATGACGTGCATCAATTAAACCAACTTAAAACACTGGCTGGAAAGAAAGATTGGTTTGGTGTGGGGAGTAGAATTATCATCACAACTAGGGATGAGCGTCTACTAGTTGAGCATGGTATAGTGATACGATATAAGGTCGAGGTATTAAAGGATGATGAAGCTCTTGAGCTCTTTAGTCAAAATGCCTTTAAGAAAAATCAGCCTGAAGAAGGTTTTCTGGAACTCTCTAGGTGTTTCGTACATTATGCCAAAGGTCTTCCATTAGCTTTGACAACATTGGGATCTTTTTTGTACGAGAGAAATCAAGATATATGGAAAAGTGCATTGGATAATCTAGGGAAAATTCATTATCCAACAATTTTTCACTCACTCAAAGTAAGTTATGACGGACTAGAAGAGATAGACAAGAAATTTTTTCTCAATGTTGCATGTTTCCATAAAGGGAAGGTTGAAGAGCAAGTAATTGAAATACTGGACAGTATCTATAATATTCAAGTCGTATTAGGATAGATATTCTCATTGAGAAATCTCTCTTAATTATTGAGAAATCCCACGATCGTAAAAGTGTTCAGATGCATGATTTGATACAAGAAATGGCATGGAGAAATTGTTTATGAAGAGTCTCCTAAAGAGCCTGGTAAACGCAGTCTTCTGTGGCATCCCAGTGACATTTCTGTGTATTCATGAACAATTTGGTAAGAAGTTATTTAGATACTATATATACTTGTTCAAAATATATATTTTGCATAAAATTATTTATGAGAATTATTTAGAGATATTAAACTTTAATGAATGAGATGAATTAACTTTTCCTTTTTCTTAATTATATATATTAGGGAACGGGAGCAATGAAGCCATGGTACTGCTCTGCCCAAATTAAAGAAGGGTGCCCCGGAATTGACTGAAGCCTTCAATGAGATGCATGGGTTAAGGCTCCTTCACTTGATAATGTGATGTTTCTTCATGCCCTAAATTTCTTCCAAATTCCCTTAAGAATTATCCATTGGAGTTGGTATCCTTCTCAATTGCTCCCATCAAGTTTTGAACCACATTTGCTTTCTAAACTAGAAAATGAGAAGCCAAACTTTCCGCTTTGGGATGGAGCAAAGGTGAGAGATTATTGAAATTATAATTTTTTTTATATATATACATAATTTGGATATAATTGTAACTTGTTCAACTAAGAAGGGTTATTTTAAATTATATTTTACAATTTTTATGTACTGTACAGGTCTTGCCAAACTGAAAATTAGGACCTTAGTTACTCTGATCAATTGACAAGTACCCCAGATTTCACAGGCATCCAAACTCTTGAGATTTGCTGCTATATCATTGTAAGATTTAGTTGAGGTTCATCGGTCTTTTGCAGTTCTCAAAAAGCTGAAAAATTTGCAACTTGCGGGGTGTATGGGTATTGACAGTCTCCCAAGTGTGGTGGGAAATGGATTCTCTTGAACAGTTTAGTTTTTATGACTGCTCAAAGGTGAAAAACGTTCGAAGATTTGTGGAACAGCTGAATGATAAATTGGATTCTCTTTCTTTACATGGGATTCTCTTTGTGGAACAGCAAATACGTCCATCAATTGAACACCTTGTCGGCCTTAAAGAGCTGGATTTGCACGGATGCACAAAAATTAACAAAATGGTGGTGTCTTCTCTAAATCGTTTCACGTACTTGGAAGACTTAAGTTTGAATTATTGTAATATTGGTGAAGGAGCCATCCTTGATGATATTGGCTGCTTGTCTTCTTTAAAATACTTGCATCTTTGTGGAAACGATTTCGTTAGCCTTCCCTCAAGCATTAGATTCCTTTCTAAGCTTGTGTTTCTTGGATTGCAATGGTGCAAAAGGCTCGAGCGATTGCCAGATCTTCCGCTAAATATAAGAAGTGTAGACGTAGACGATTGTGTTTCCTTAATTGGTTCAACTTGGTTGAAGAAGAATGATTTTAGGCTTCTTGTGTTAATTGCTTCAAATTGGTTGAAGAAGAAGAAGACTGGATTAATGTAATCTTGCTAAGATAAGGACTGCGGCCATTGAGGTATTTACTCTCGCGTTGAATATTATAGTTTTCTTTCCCTTTTTATTTTTATTTTGGGAAAGGAATATAGTTTTCTTTTCTATAATAAATAAATATAATTTCAAAAAAAACCAAAAAAAAAAAAAATGGAATTCTTTGGTACAGGGGATGCTCTTAAAAAATATGGTAATTCTTTTGCTCCTGTGAGCGTATTGCATGCCCTGTATTTGGAATTCTAGAGGTGGTTCGGTTAATCCAAGTGTGGGAGATTCAATAACTGTGGAGCTGCCTCTCCTCCACATCCATCAAATAGCGACTGGGTTGGGATTGCTTTCTGTGTGTTTTGATGGTTCTGAATATTTTGATAGTCCCGCATCCTTCTTCGATATGATTTTTTCAAATTGAAGTTCGATCATCTCAGAGATATTTGGATGAGCCTCAATTTTTTCGAGCCAGAATCTTCTGTCAGAACACCTTTGGGTTTTTATTTGCCTCGCGATCATCCAAGCCTCACGGATGCCTCAACCAGTCATCGGTTTTCGTTCGAAACGCATTATTCTTCAACTAGAGATTTGGAAGAACTCAAAACAAGCTCGATTATAAAGGAATGTAGGGCCCGTTTGGTTTACAAGAGAGATTTGGAAGAATTCAGCCATTGATTTTGATGTACGACTATGAGGAGGAATTGGTAGCGCTCATGATGACGATGAACCAGGAATTGGTTAGCTCTGATGATGACCACGATGAACCAGTCAGCAAAAGATTGAAGAAAGTCTAAATTATTTTGTGCTTGGTGCTATCATTCAGAATTCATCTCTGTAAGTCACCTTTTCTTTTCATTTTTCTTTTGAGCTACTGTTTAATTTGCTCTGAAACTTGTCAATCTGACTGACGGAAGGACACTATCATCTATCATTGTTTAACAATACTCGTCTCTCATCTAGTTTCAAATTTGGCGAAAAGCAAGCAATGCATTGGTGGCATTCACAAAGTTTCAAATTTGATTGCATCATATTTAGTTCTTATATTAGGTAGGAGGAAAGAGAGTAATTCTCTTGTTACATCTTGTTTGTATAGTTTGCAGGATATGCTGGTAATTTGTGCTATTTCAATTGCTGTGTCAGATAATGTCTGTATGTCATGCAAATGCACACTCTGAATGAACATCTGCAGATGTTGCCAAACTGAAGCATTAGAACTGCACACTACTGAATGACATCAGGTTTTATTGGTAACTCAGGAGGTAAGAACAGGAGACTTTGGAAAAACACCAAGGAGAGAAATTTTGTAAAAGAAGCCAAAATGACAAAATTGCCCCTTATTTATTTTTGGATTTCTAAGGAATCTTTTACATTTGCAGTCTTTGATTTGAAAGTTGAGATGGTTTTTTCTGTCTTTTTATAAAAAGCTTTTGGCTTTTTTTGGTGGAAAACATTAGTCCTTTCACTTTGTAAAACACTTTCATGCTTTTCCTTTCCTTTTTTGTTTTTTTTCACCTTGACCCTTATCCTGAGTATTGGACGTGTTGAGCTCTTTCTTGGGGAGTTCCTCATTTCTTCTTCGGTTTCTTGCCTTGACTTTTGAGTCTTTTCCTATGGAAGTTGTTTTGGCATCACACGTAATGTAAATTTCCTTTTTTTCCTCTTGAGAGTTTACATTTTATGGATCGTGCTATGATGTTCATATCCATTCAACTCACTTTAATAGCCATTCAACTTATCCGCGGTTTCAATAATTGCAGTGTCTTTTTTACATATGATCTGAAGCAGTGCCTTTGTTTTTTTACATATGAAGGTCATCAGAAAGCAATAAAAAGATAAAACTTTAAGAAAAAAATAATAAAATAAAATAAAAAACTATTACTTGGAAGGTAGGTAGGTATATATATATATATATATATATAAAAAACACCAACAAAATATGAAAACAGCTTATATGAAAAATAAAATAAAATAAAACTAGTGAATTATCATTTCTGGAAACAGAGAAGGAACTTGTTTGGACCATATCGGGAACACAATTAAAGTGAACTGCTTCAAGATGTCATGTAAATATCTTCCTCTCTAGAAAAATAAAACCAAAGTTGGGAACTTGCTTGGACCAGATCACTTTTGCCTTGAAATTTCATTTCACTTTGGCAATATATTTCACGTTTTTCCTTCCTTTCTTTTTTTTTCCTTGACTTTTATGGTCATTGGACGTGTTCACTCTTTCCTGGGATATTTCTTCGTTTCTTCTTCAATTTCCAGCCCTGTATTTTGGCTCTGTTTTCAGTGGAAATTGTTTTGGCACCACCACATAATATAATTTTGGATTAATTACATTTTAGTACCCTGAACTTACATAGTTAAGGTATGTTAGTCCCTACCTTTTCAATTTTAACAATCACATATCCCGGTCTTTTAAATTTGTTACAATGTGGCTCCACTGTTAGGGTTTCCGTTAAATCTCTTTGTTAATTGCATATATGGCACTGTGGATCCCACATTTTTCAAAAATTTTAATTTTAAATTGATTAAAATATGAATAAATTTTTAATGTTTCATTATTGATCGTTTGTTTGTTGTATTGAATCGTTCTTAATAATTAATTAGAGTTTTCTTTCTTTCATGGTTTCATTAGTGAATTATAGTTAATAAGTAGAGATCTTAAAAGGTGAAACATCAATAATAATAAAAATAACTGTTTTATAGATAGTGTGGTTGGACTCCAATCTGCCTTTTTTTGTACACATGTAAATATTAACGCAACTAGACAATTAGGATACATGAATTGTAATAATCAAAACAAACAATTTAACTTTATAATGTCATCTTAATTTCTAGAATATTAGAAATCGCTTCATCCAATTAAACCTTTTATAATGTGTTTGAAATCTATTATTCGCGTATAATACGGATAGTAACTACCTACCAAAGTATGAAGTTTGGTACACATTCATACTTTTCTTGGGTAAAAAAAGAAATCATTCACCCTCTGACAATGTTTCCAATTTGGTCACCACGATGCGGTATTCCATCTCTCTCCCTCTCTCCCATTATTTACTTTATACAGAGCCCTCTCTCTCTCTCTCTTTTTCATATGAAATTGACATGGGTAAGCTCTTTCTTGGGGATTTCCTCGCTTCTTTAGTTTTTTGTCCTGTCTTTTGAGTCTCTTTCCTGTGCAAATTGTTTTGCCACCACATGGAAAATTTCATTTTTTGACTTGTGCTATGATGTTAATTAGAAAAAAGGGAAATTGGTGGCTTTGTCTTCGGATTGAATAAACATCGGTAAAATAACAACTTTTTTAAACCATATAAAACTAACGCATATAAATACCTAGCATCCAACTGTTAAAGTGGTTAAGTGAGATGCCAGGTGTCAAAAAATAAGGCAGGGACAGGGAGGTACACACAAAAACATGGACAGAGAATCTGAACTCTGCATATGGCTACCTCAACCAATGAGTTAATTAGTTTCTCAACTCTCCCATGTTGCTAACAAAACTGCACAATAAATCCTAATGTATATGTCATAGTTTTTTTTAACTTGTGCTCTGCTTCTAAGGGATCATTTTTACCTTGTGCATTTGCCTCTTCTTTAGTTGTTTTTTATACTAAGCAATTATGTGTTCAATTCCCTCTGCATCAGTAAATACTAGACTGAAAGTTGATGACATAAATTTCTTAGGTTTCAGGAAAAAAAGAAAGCCAGGGACACAATCACTTTTTCTGAGAAGAAAGAGAACGCATCCCAGCAAGGAAGTTTCACTGATGTGTTGTTGGAAAACATTAGTCCTTTCACTTATTTTTGACTTAGGTGTTGATTCGAAAATCGTGAATTTGTTCAAAAAAAAAAGAAGAAGTTACAATTGTATTTAGAAATATTAACCAACCCATGTAATCGAGTAGAATAGAAGCAATAAATCAAGGCTTGAGATCGTATAGACAGATTTTAGTTGCTCAAAGCTCAACTGAGCTCATCAGCAACACCATTAAGTATGGCCTAACTCACAAATTAATCCCTATTAACTAACTACACAATTGCGTGTGGAAAAAGCAAAACAAAAAACAGGATTTTCTCATAAATAAAAAGTTGGGAACTTGCTTGGAATTTTATAAGTACCTTGGCACCCGATCACTTTCTTGAGAAACGAAATTTCCTTGAAATTTCCTTCAACTTTTTTGGTGGAAAACAGTTGTCATTTCACTTTTGTAGTACATTGGCTCTCTACCAGACCCACTGGACCACACACAGAAAAAAGTAGAAAGCGTGTTCACTACCTCTCTCGGTTTTTTAGGGTGGGTTTTTGGTTGGATTGGTTCTTGTGGTTGTTTTTTGGCCAATTCTCTGGCTTTGTGATTTGTTAATTTGTTGTTCTGCTGAGCCATCGTTCGAGTTGGTGTGTTTCCCTTTCATTGCTGGGTATTTGCTTTCTGCCCTTCTTCTCTTCTGCTTAATACGTTTTCAATTACCAAAAGAAAGCTCCATTTTTTTTTTCATAGATCATTTTCTCTTTACGTATTTACCGAGTGTTTGCAGAACCAGATTTCCAGGAACTGTTTTCTCCCATGGCCTTGAGCACCCAAAGAGCTTCTACATCTCGTACTTCAGCTGAATGGGCTCCTCCTCGATGGAAGCATGATGTTTTTCTGAGTTTCAGGGGCGAAGACACTCGCAGGGGTTTTATCTCTCATTTAGACCGTGCATTGGCGTACTGGCAAGCAATGATAACTTTCAAGGACGATCGAGAACTTGAAGTAGGAGCAACTATTTCTCTGGAGCTGTTGACCGCGATCGAAGAATCATATCTTGCCATCATTGTTCTGTCCCCAAATTACGCTTCTTCCACTTGGTGCTTGGATGAACTCTCAAAGATTCTTGAATGCATGGAAGACACCAAGAGAATTCTGCCAATCTTTTATGACGTGGATCCTTCCGATGTGCGAAACCAAAGGGAGGAGTTTTGCGGAAGCTTTCACTAAGCATGAAGAAAGGTTTAGTGGAGATGTAGAGAAGCTGAATCGGTGGAGAGCCGCTTTAAGAAAAGTTGCCAATCTCACTGGCTTAGATTCAAAAACTTATAAGTAAGCATGCGTCCATGAACAACTTGTGTGTGTCTTAACAAGAGCCCTACTTGGATGTTATATTTATGGATTAATGGTTATTTTTATTATTTTGTAGGTCAGAAGCAGAGCTTGTCGATGACATTGTCAAACATGTGTGGAAGAAGGTGAATCCTACATTCACGTTGTTAGATTCTCAAGAGAAGTTAGTCGGAATTGATTTTGCACTTGATCAACTACGCTTGCATTTGGCTCCCGAAGAAAATGATGTCCGCTTTATAGGGATATGGGGGATGGCGGGGGTAGGCAAAACAACCCTTGCTAACCTAGTTTATGAGAAAATTTCCCATCATTTCGAGCATTGCTGTTTTCTATATAATGTGAGAAAGAAGAAGCTTTCTGATCTACAAAGACAACTTCTTTCCCCACTTTTGAAGGGAAATCATATTTGGGATGAAAGGGAGGGAACCGTTTTCATTAATAAAATTTTAAGGAATAAAAAGGTTCTTCTTGTACTTGATGATGTGGATCAATTACACCAACTAGAAGTACTGGCTAGAGATAAAAAAAATTTTGGTGTGGGGAGTAGAATTATCATCACAACTAGAGATAAACGTCTACTTGTTCAGCATGGTACAACAACCTTTAAGGTCGAGGTCTTAAAGAATGATGAAGCTCTTGAGCTCTTTAGTCGACATGCCTTTAAGAAAGATCAGCCTGAGGAAGGTTTTCAAGAACTGTCTCAGCATTTCCTATATTATGCCAACGGCCTTCCATTAGCTCTTAAAATTTTAGGGCGTGCGTTGTATGGAAGAGAACAAGATGTGTGGAAGAGTGCGTTGTATAATCTAAACAAAATTCCTGATCCAGATATTTTTGATTCGCTCAAAGTGAGCTATTATGGACTCAAAGATATGGAGAAGAAAATTTTTCTGCATGTTGCGTGTTTCCATAGAGGGAAGAATAAAAAGCAAGTTATTCACATACTAGACGGGAGCCTTAACATTTCCAGTCTTATTGAGATAGATATTCTTGTTGAGAAATCTCTCTTAACTATTGAGAAAATCCACTCTCGGAACAACACTGTTGAGATGCATGATTTGATACAAGAAATGGCATGGAGAATTGTTCATGAAGAATCTCCCGAGCCTGGTAAACGCAGTCTTTTGTGGCATCACAGTGACATTTCTCATGTATTGATGAAAAATACGGTAAGAAGTTATTTAGAGATACTATATATACTTGGACCAAAATATATATATGCCATTTTTCAAATGAGAAGTTATTTAGAGATATTAGACTTTAATGAGATGAGATGAATTAACTTTTTCCTTTTTCTTAATTATATATATTAGGGAACGGGAGCAATTGAAGCCATAGTCCTATGTCCGCCCAAATTAGAAGCAGTGCCCTGGAATTGTACTGAAGCCTTCAATGAGATGCACGGGTTAAGGCTCCTTGACTTTGATAATGTGGTGTTTTCTTCGGGCCCTAAATTTCTTCCAAATTCCTTAAGAATTATCCAATGGAGGTTGTATCCTTCCAAATCGCTCCCATCAAGTTTTGAACCACATTTACTTTCTAAACTAGAAATGAGCTATAGCAAACTTGTCCGGCTTTGGGATGGAGCAAAGGTAAGATTCTTGAAATACGGCATTTTGTATTTTTTTTAAAATTATAATTATATTGAGTATGATTGTATTGTACCTTGTTTTAACTTGCAAGGTTTTTTGAAATTTATAATTCTACAACTTTTATATACTTGCAGGATTTTCCGAATTTGAAATATATGGATCTTAGTCACTCTGATAAATTGACCAGTATCCCAGAGTTCACACGCATTCCAAATCTTCAGGAATTGAAACTGTTTGGTTGTGAGAAATTAGGCGAGGTTCACCCGTCTATTGCAGTGCACAAAAAGCTGAACGTTTTAGTACTTGATGAATGTAAAAGTCTTAAGAGTCTCCCAAGTAAGTTGGAAATGGATTCTCTTGAATACTTTTCTCTTTGGGGCTGCTCAAAAGTGAAAAAGATTCCAGAATTTGGGGAACATATGCAGAACTTGAAAATGATTTATCTATGTGAGACTGCTATCGAGCAAATACCTTCATCAATTGAACATCTGGTTGGCCTTAATTGTCTATATATAAGTGAATGCAAAAGTCTCTTGGGTCTCCCTAGTGCGATATGTAAATTGAAGTCTCTTAGAATCCTCTATGGGAACGGATGCTCAAAAGTTGACAAACTCCCAGGGGAGATGGAGTGCTTAGAGGAGCTTGATTTAAGTGGAAGAGCTATGAGAGAGCCACTTGTTGCTATGAAAAATCTCAAAAGTCTATCCCTTAGTGGATCAGTTGCTTCAAGGGATGGCATTGGGTGGGGCGTTGACCGCATATTTGGAATTAGAAAGAATCCTGACCCTGAGCGTTGGGGTTTGGTTTTGTCTTCTCTAAATCGTTTAGGGTCTTTGACGAGATTATATCTGAGAGATTGTAATATTGGTGAAGGAGCCATTCCAGATGATATCGGCTGCTTGTCTTCTTTAAAAGGGTTGGATCTTAGTGGAAACAATTTCGTTAGCCTTCCCTCAAGCATTAGATTCCTTTCTGAGCTTCAGACTCTTTCCTTGCAGAGGTGCAAAAGGCTTGAGCAATTGCCAGATCTTCCGTCAAATAGTTTCTTATACGTAGATGTAAACGATTGTACTTCCTTGAAAAGGTTGTCAGATCCATCAAAGTTGAGCGAAGGAGCCAATGTGTATGATTTTAGGTTTAGTTGTCTTAATTGCTTCAGATTGGTTGAAGAAGAAGGCTGGATTAATAGAATATTTGCAATGATAATGAGATTGGCCCCTGAGGTACACACACTCTCTCCCTCGCTGAATGAATATATATATATATATATATATATATATTCGTGGTTTTCTTTCTCTATAGTAAGTAAATATAATTGTAATTCTTTTGGTGCAGGTAAGATATCCTGATGGCCGTTTTGTATGGCCTGGAAGTGAAATTCCAGATTGGTTCGATAATCAAAGTGTGGGAGATTCAATAATTGTGGAGCTGCCCCTACCACCACAAACATGTAGTGACTGGGTTGGGATTGCTTTATGTGTTGTTTTTGAAGATTCTGCACATCCAGACTATGATTATTGCCAAATTTTCTGTTCATGGAAACTGTCTCATACTTTTATAGTCGGGTATCTTGGGTCACAACACCTTTTGGTTTTCTATTTGCCTCGCAATGATCCCTATCTCAGGGATGCCTCAAGCAGTCATCAGTTATCATTTGAAGGGCATTATTGGCCAATCGAATCTGCGAAAAAAGAACTGAAAACAAGCTCGATTATAAAGAAATGTGGAGCCCGTTTGGTGTACAAGAGAGATTTGGAAGAATTCAGCCGAATACTGAAAATCCCGATGCCAGCAGTCTATGGATAAGAAGGTATTGATAATTGATAGTGGAAGGGCCAATTGATAATTGATAGTGGAAAACTAGAGGGCCAGTCGGGAGAGTTTACTTTGGCCCAACTAACGCGTATAAATACCTTCTTATCCCCACCAACTTGCTCTTTTCCCACTTTCGCCCAACTCCCCGGAACTCAGCGCTCTCTCTCATTCGCGCTCTCTGTCTCTGACTCTGTCGTTCATTTTCTCCATAGAAATCGAACTGAGATCTCTCTCCGCTGGGTTTCTCTTTCTCATATCAGTTAACGGTAAGCATCCTCTTCCTTTGAATTTAGGGTTTATTCTTCTAAATTAAATTTAGAGTTTTTTCTGTTAAATGAGGCTTATTGAAATGGAGGTTGATGTTGATGATTCTTTCAGTTAAATTATCTTGTTTGTTTTTTTTTTTTTTTTTTTTTTTTTTTTTTTTTTTTTTGTTGAATTTGATTTAAGGCTCTGTTTAATTTCTTTTTTTTTCTTTTTTTGTGTGTGTGATTAAATTAGGCTTGTGTCTACTTGAGCAAATACCTTCATCAATTGAACATCTAGTTGGCCTTGGTGAATTGCGTATAAATTGTTGCAAAAGTCTCTTGGGTCTACCGAGTGTGATATGCAATCTGAAGTCTCTTAAAATCCAAACAAGATAGCCGAAAATAGACTTGATTAGTTCTTTATTTGAGATATTGTAAAATTGGTTTTGAAAAAAATATATATAAAAAATTGAGACGTAAAACAAATTTCTGGGTCATGTTGTAGGTTTTATTAGTTAATACACAGAATAACAATAATGTAACTTGAGATGCAGTGTTTTGGCCCTTGAATTGTTTAATATATATTTCAATATTGAAACTCGTCCCTTCATCTTACAATACCCACTTTTTATGCAGATGAATTGGGAGAAACTTATGAAGATGGCCAGTGCAGTTCACACTGGTGGAAAGGGTAGCATGAGGAGGTGGGTGAAATTTCAGCTTGAAACTCCTTTTCTCTACCAAGTTGATTCACAGAGGCTGAAGTATCAAGTTTTAGCCGTACTGGTTTTGAGTTAAATATATGTGCAGTTGATAATTTGTATGTGTGCCAGTTTCATGTCTGATATGCATTATATTGAGCACCTGATCAAGTGGTTTACTTCATCAAATTATTGATTTGCAATTTGAGTTCATTATGTGAAGCAGTTAGCCTGATGGCATGTTGAGTGGATTGTTGTCTTTTGTTGTTTTACCATGTTTATTTTATCTTATTCTTGTAATTTTTTTTTAAGATGAGAAATACCTTAATTTTTAGAGTTAACTGCTCTTCCAAGGGGGGACACAGTTTTTTTAATATTAATTTGTATAACATGCAATCTTTATGTGGCGAAGTACAATAAACATTTATTGTATGCTGCATTTGGTGCATTAGCTTATCTAAAGTTCCTCGTTAAACCAGATGATTCCCTAGCTTAAAGAGCCCATAACAGAAAGGTTGTCTCCAATAGACTTAGTGTAATTGTTTTTCCAGTAGAGAGCCTACTCTGGTGGAGAGTGTGACGGGTTCTTCTGCTCTTCTGTATTCGATATTATCTAATGGTGTGTTCTTCTTCTCTTTAGATTGTTAAACAATTGAGTAGGCAAAAAATAAGAAAGTAATTCAAGTAGTTAAAACGGAGAATTGTTGGAGTTTACCTCAAATAAGCCATCTAGTGCTCTCTGCTGTGGAGAAAATGCTATTTCTGATGTACACAGCATTGTCGGGGAATGGTCATTTGGACTTAGACTGCCCTTGACTTGAAGTCATTTTATGACCAGTTTTCAGTCATAAGTTTTGCACATTCCTGCAATTGTTTGTAATTAGTACATGTTTGTTGTGATCTTCATCTTGTTTGTACGTGATTTTGTTCATTAATTTCTGTTCCCAACTTCAGAAAGGAGAAGACTGTTCACAAGACAACTACCACAGATGACAAAAGGCTTCAGAGCACCATTAAGAGAATAGGGGGCGAACGCTATTCCTGCAATCAAGGAAGTTAACATATTTACGGATGATGTTGTCATCCAGTTCATGAACCCCAGAGGTGAAGCTAACATGCCAGAACTCTGATCCTGTAAATTATTATTTTGATTTTCCTTGTACATTTCAGTTCAAACAAAGAGTATGCCACTATTTGTTATCTATCTTTTAAATTTGTAGTGATTGTTTAACTTGTTAACCATTTTGGTGTCTTCCATATTTAATGTAGTAGTAATTTATAAAAATGGATAGAATATTGGTGTTGTGTTCTTCTTTAGTGTATTTACGCAATGATTTTATTCCGAGGTTTAGCTGTCAATATGTGCCTTGAATTGGATTTTTTTTTTCAGTGTTGTGTTATCTGGTAAGGCAACACACATATATACATGTTTAGATGTGTTTGTGCCTGGATTTTCTTTTGCGCATTGAGCCTTTTATTTGGCCTTCTTTAGATTTTTGTCATATTGGTTTAGAACTTGACATATGATCTTCTCTGTTGTAGAGTTGCAAGATATTCTTCCCAGTATATTATCAGCCACTTGGGTAAGTGTGCATGTGATCCTTATATTTTGTTCTTGCTTTTGTCCTCAAGTTAAAGAGGACTTGGAGAATTCCTCATGACACCTTTAATTATTTTCAGGGCCAGATAACTTGGACAATTTGATGAAACTGGCAGAGCAGTTCCAGAAGCAAGCTCCTGGTGCTGGTGCTGCTGGTGGAACCACTACACAAGAGGATGATGATGACGAGGTCCCTGAGCTTGTTGCTGGTGAGGCCTTTGAAGCTGCTGCGGAGGAGAAACAAGCTTCGTAGAGAGTTTCTAAGGGATTTTGTGTTTCATTTTATACTTGGTTAATTTTATCTTTTTGGTTAAAATCTAGTTTTACTATTTCCTAATGCTTGACCGATTATTGTGTTTAAAGATTATTTTCCTGTTTTTAGATGATTGTTATAAACGCATCAAGTAACGAAACCCTTTTAAGCCTTCCGATTCTGGAGTTGTGGCAACAAAACCCTTCCACAAACGTACCTTTATTTCACTCTACTTTCCTCATCAAGTGTCTACGGACTCATCTTGCCACGCTGCGCAACGGTACTATTGAAATTCCTAAATTCCTTCCCGGTCAAAAATTCAACTTTAAACCTAATAAAACATTTTAGGGGCAAAATAGTCTTTTATCATGTTAAATTAATAATTAAACATTTATTTAGGACCGGGTCGTTACATAATGTGTGGAAAATGTTAGTATAGTTCTGAGTCTTCTGACCATAGTTACCCAAATCGCTCACCCCCTTACGAATTTCGAACTAGATCGTACGTACTGAATCATGGTACATTAGCATCCCAAGAGGAAGTTTCAGTGAGGTGTTGTGGAAAACATTAGTCATTTCTCATGATTTCCTTTCTATAGTAGGGTGACGCGCTTTTCCACTTGTACAGTGCCCTCTCCTCTGTCTTAGGCCACCTCCACCACAACCCATTTTGCTAGGGCAAAAGGCCCCCCAAGTGGGGTTTGGACCTCAAGCGCAGGAGAAGCAGCCCGGGCAAGCCCAAGGGCAGATCTTGCTTGGGCTTCAGCCCGAAGGTGCTGACGTCAGCGAGCAAAAAAAATTCAAAAAAATTGAAGAAAAAAAAATCAATTTTTTTAAAAAAAAAATACCAAAAAATTATGGATGTTTTCCCTATAAATACATAACAATTTTATTCACTTTCCACACCAAATCCACATACAAAGTCTTCTCCTTCCAATATTTGTAAATTAAAAAGAAAAAAAATTCTTGCATTTGTAAATTGTTTATATTTTCTTCCATATTTATATTTTTCTTGCATAATTGTTTTATTTTATTGCATTTCTAAGTTGTTGTTTATATTTTTGCATATTCTTATTTTTTTTTTTTTTTTTTTTTTTTTTTTTTCTTACCCTAACCTTTTGGGGTGGAACCAAAAAAGGCAAGGCTGCCACTATTCACATGAATAGTAGCAGCCCTTGCCTTACCTTTGCCTTAGCCTTAGCCTTTAGAGCATCTCCAGCGCCATACCCAAACTGGGGGAAAGGCTGCCCTGGCGAGCCCAAGACACCTCCAGCGCAGCAGATGCAGCCTGGTTTCATGGTGGGTTCCACCAGCCCGGGCAGGCCCAAGGGCAAATTCAGCCCGAGCTGCTGCCAGGGCAAACTGATGCAATGCTGACGTCAT